CCCCCGTGGCTCCCTCACTTACCCTGGGAGGCGGCAGGGAGTGTCCTCTGGCCTCCCCCGAGCCGCAGCGCTCCCGCAAGGCTCAGGAAACCCGGGGGCGGGGCTCTCCGGGCCTCCCCTGAGCCGCAGCGGGCTTGGGGGCGGGGCTTGTCACCACGCGGGCTGCCGGAGCAGTGCTCCGGAGGGCTCTGGTCCGAAAAGACCCCTGATCTTCACTCATTAGTATGCTTGCTTGGATGGAGCTGGCGTGATTACCTTTTGATCCTTAGTCGTCTAGCCAGTGGCAGAGGCCAGAATGTCCTTCCCCTCATGTCTGCAATCCCAAGACAATGGGTCATGTGCTTATTTATTTTTATTCATTTACATTATTTATAGGCTGCCCTGCTCACTGAGACTCATGGCTGATTACAAAATGTAAGTCACGTACGATCAACAGGATGGGATATCCAATGAATAGTGCAACAGGGTTTGGACTCCAGAAATCTGAAAACACTGAGCAATCTAAAACAGAACTGGAACAAAGCATAAACATTTAAACACGACACATTAAATGGTGTAGATACAATATAGTCAGATCAATACTGACAGCGAAAGGCAGCAATATAGGGGTACAGGCCACAGTCTCTATTCCTTTACCCATGCAACCTTCTGAACTATTTCATTACAGCTCAGTCCTATTGCAAAAAAGCCTTTTTGAACATAAGAAGAGCCCTGCTGGATCAGACCAGTGGTACATCTAGTCCAGCATCCTCCTGTCTCACTCAGTGGCCAACCAGTTCCTCTGGGTGGCCCTACAACAGGGCATACAGGCCAAGGCCTTCATAAAAACATAAGTACCCTGCTGGATCAGACCAGTTCTCCTTCTAGTCCAGCATCCTGTCTCACTTGGGATGAGACAGACGAGAGCCAGTTTGGTGTAGTGCTTAAGAGCCGGGTCTGATTCCCCACTGCTTCACATGCAGCCAGCTGGGTGACCTTGGGTCAGTCACAAGTTCTCTCAGAGCTGTTCTCTCAGGAGCAGTCCTCAAAAGAGCTGTCTCAGCCCCACCTCCCTCACAGGGTGTCTGTTCTGGGGAGGGGAAGGGAAAGCAGATTATAAATCGCTCTGAGAGTGAAGGGCGGGAATAAATCCAATCTCTTCTTCCTCTCTTCTTCTTCAGTGGCCGTCCAGTTCTTCTGGGCAGCCAACAACAGGGCTTAGAGGCTGAGGCCTGCCCCTGATGTTGCCTGCTGGCTCTGGGAATCAGAGGATCAGTGCCTCTGAATGTGGTGGTTCATTCAAGTCATCATGGCCAGTAGCCATTGACAGATTTATCCTTCATGAATCTGTCTAATCCCCTTTGACTAATGCTTATGCTTTGATTCAGCTTCATTTTCAGATCGCTGCAATCCGAAGCATTTTGCTTGGTTTATTGGATGTCCCATCTTGTTGATTGTATTTGACCTACACTGTGTAATCCGCCTTGAGTCTCACTGAGAAAGGTGGACTATAAATAATGTAAAATAAACAAACACCATTGGAGCCTTGTGTTCTTCCTGGTGGCTCTGGGAAGGTCTGGTTCCATCAGCACATATGGAAGATGCTGACCTGTTGGCCCTGATTTCAGCTGGGCATGGCCAGTTTTGTTTGCCACGAGTCCTTTTTGGTTGAGCAAAAGCGGGAGTGTTCATTCTGATCAGATGCAAAATACGTTAGCTGCATCTGCACAAATACTGGAAAGAGACGGCTTGCTTATCTGCGGGACACACAGTGGTATATTCTTCGTTTCAGCCTCGGTCAGGGAAAATTTAAATGTGCAAAGTTTCATTCTTAGGTGTGATGAAAATAGCAGATATTATTATTATTATTGCTGTGTTGTGGTTAGCACAGTGTTCCCCTTAGCCTGAGCTTGTCGGAACGTGGGAGCTAAGCAAGGCTGGCCACAGTCAGTACTTGGATGGGAGACCAAGGAAGACCCGGGGGGGGGGTTGCTATGTGGAAGCAGGCAATGGCAAACCACCTCTGCTCATCTCTTGCCTTGAACGCCCCATGGCTGGGTTACCATGAGTCGGTTGTGACTCAATGGCACATTCTTCTTCTGGCTAGCATGACTGCACCATGAGCTGATTTCCATAACCCTCCACCCAGATGAAAGCTTTAACCTAGGCTTGCCAAGTCCCCCGGGGGGGCGGGGAAACCCCCGCCTCAGAGGCCCATTCCCCACCGCCGGCGGTTCGGGCCCCGAGGGAACCCCAACCCAACGTGCACGTCACCCGGAAGTGACGCGACCATGCTGGGCACGCTGGGGGCGGGGCCACGGTCATCCGAGGGGAAACTCGATGTGACGTGGATGTGGCGTGCGCGCGCTCTCCAGCCGCCAGCCGGGAGTCCCCCGCTGCGGCGAAAATCACACTTGGCAACCCTACTTTGAGCCCTGCATATAACACTGAGTACACAAGTTTTTTGTGTTGGGTTTTTTTTTTTTACAACAAAGAAGAGTTGCTGCAGTAAAGTAAAAATATTTTCTATATTTTTGGTCGGGGGAAGAGTTGCTGTCAAATCATAATAGCAAACATTTTAAAATGAAAACACGGGTGGCAGAACAGAGTTTATGCTTCTTTTCAGCCTATGGCTTGAACAGAAATCTAGTGGGTGAGTGTGAAACCTTTTTTTCTTCCCCCTCCTGATTGTTTGTTTTTTCATTTACTCCCCAGGGTATCATTACACAGTCAGCAGAACCTCATGACTGTTTCCAACCTCGGAGTTATATTTGGTCCCACGCTGATGAGAGCCCAAGAAGAGACCGTGGCTGCTATGATGAATATCAAGTTTCAGAATATTGTGGTTGAGATTCTTATTGAGCATTATGAGAAGGTAAAAGATGAGAGGGCCCCGAAGCCTTCCTGGAAGACTGGTCTCTAGTGGGTGAGTGTGAAACCTTTTTTCCTCCCCCCTCCTGATTTTGTTTGTTTCTTCGTTGACTCCCCAGGGTATCATTACACAGTCAGCAGAACCTCATGACTGTTTCCAACCTCGGAGTTATATTTGGTCCCACGCTGATGAGAGCCCAAGAAGAGACCGTGGCTGCTATGATGAATATCAAGTTTCAGAATATTGTGGTTGAGATTCTTATTGAGCATTATGAGAAGGTAAAAGATGAGAGGGCCCCGAAGCCTTCCTGGAAGACTGGTCTAGATGGTCCACACAGTGTTGTCGTGTCCTCCCC